ACTTATTTATATAAGTGTAGCATGCGCTATATACAGTATTGTTCTGGCCGGATTAAATTGTTACTAGGTCATACGGATATTTCATTACACTATTTTTTGTATAATGATTTTCCATGAAAATCAAGTGTAATATGTGTTAGCTCAAGACTATACCCTCTTAATATTTGATGCATATGTCATGCTTGTTTTACTATTTCACTAAATGATACTCAAATATCACCATGTATGCTTCACTGAAAGTTTGTCTTACTACATCACCAAATGATACTTAAATATCAACCCTGCACGCTTCTCTGAAATGCTTGTCTATTACTGTTTTTCATCAAGTGTCCTTATGCCATCCTATATCCTCTTAGTAGTTGATCCATATGTCATGATTGTTTTATTATTACACCAAATGATACTCAAATACTACCATGTATGCTTCACTGAAAAGCGTGTCTTACTACTTCACCAAATGATACTTAAATATCACCCTGCATGCTTCATTGAGATGTTTGTCTACTACTGTATTTCGTCAAATGTCATTATACCATCCTGTATGCTCCACTGGAATGAATAAAAATTAAAAAAAAAAATGCATCCAGCTGTTTACGGCGAAAAACAATATGGCGCCAAGCAAGGGAGTGTTCATTAAACTAAACATCTCCGGGAGAAATCATTGTCAATTTTTTCTCTTAAATGATCAACCTTAATATATAAATGAAAATAAAGACCAACTTTTATCACCAAAAAAGACCAAACATTATCATAAATATTCAAAACAGGTGGTAATGAAAGAGCATTATCATCGTTCTCTTTAAACTTTGTGGTGGATATACTGGAAACAAGTGAAATGTTAAAACGTGTTACCTTAGCCTTGCTCCTTTTATGTGATCCACAAAATTGCTGCCACCCAGTCTTCGAAGATGAGATTTCTGCAAATTCCATTAAAATAATCTTATTTCATAATTAAATGTTCCTTACATTAAAATTACTTCTTTGTATGTAAGATTTTAACCTTTACGAGACATGAATTACCATATCCCTTCCAAACAAGTGTAAGAATGAAAGTCTGTGGGTGCAGTTTTGTTAATTGTCCCATCAAAGAATCATTAGTGAAGTTACACTTTTTGTAAATAAATAAAAGTTCAAATAAATTATATACAATTTCATCCTTCAAAGACTTTCACAAGACATTTTAAAGTGAAAATTTTCGTTGCATTTCCTTACGCCATTCTCCACCACCCCTTCCCCCCAATAATATACATATGTTGACAGGGTTCAGGGCGTGCTCAATGCATCATTTACTGATAGATCAAACAAATGTTCATAATAATGGGAAGCAATATAAAATGTTGATTAATCCTATCCGATTTTGTATAGCCGCCCTTAGGGATCGTTCATAATGTATGGCTTTGGGTGATGTTGATTTTTATGTACAATGTGAATTAGGAAAATCTTATTCGATTATATAATAAAATGCCAAATATATGCATGCAAATATATTGAAAAATAACAAAACAAGTTCATGGAAAACACGGGCTTCCACTAAATTTTGAGAAACATGTACTGTGACATACCGGTAACCTTGTGAGATAAAACATGAGCCCTAATTCGGAGTTTCTTGCTACTGCTAGATTTAAACGGCATTCCTACGTTTTCATTATACATGAAGGACATACTTACCAAATAAACACCAGCATGCCGTGAAGATGGTGAAAATAGAACGATATTGAGTTGAACTTCGCCAAAGTGAACTGACAACGATCAGCTGCCTTTGCGCGCGCGATAATTGTGCGCATGTCCGATATGGCCAAACGAGGCGATCGAAAGGTCAACATCTGGCTTGTGTTTGAAAGCAAATTGTCGGGAATTATACAACTTTCACAGTTTTGTGGGAAAATATCAAATGTAATGCAATTTGATAACTGATGACTTTATACCTAAAACTGCGATTTACGTAATATTTCCGTCCGTTGATCGATGCACAATCAAATAATATATAAGATTATATCTGTCACTAGCTCGATCTTGATCTTTTATGAAAATAATGTTCCGAAATGATAGTTGCTAAGTTGGATACCTATTACCAATATGAATTATGTATCAAATTTGCCAAGGAAACAATTAGTTGACAATTTGTTGGTTCCTTACGTTGAAACAACGTTGACAACTAAACGAATCTCGACTAACTTTCTTTGGTCGCGCATGATAAACGTTGAATCAACGTTTATGAAAGGTTGATCAACCAAACAACCAAAATTCAACGTTGATTCAAAGTAGGTAAGGTACAATGTTGCAGTGGATAAGGGAGTAGGTACAAAGTTGTACTGGCTATGGGGCGGTACGGTACAATGTTGCATGGATAAGGGAATAAGTAAGGACAATGTTGTAGTGACAGGGGTAGTAAATTGCAATGTTGTTGGAGAGTAAAGGCAACAAGTAAGGTGGAATGGAGTGGATAAAGGAGGAAAGGGATACACAGTTGTAGTGTATAAAGGAGGCAATGAGGAACAATGTTGTAGTGGATGTAACTAGGCACACAACACAGTAGTTGATAAGGGAATTAGGTAGAATGTTGCAGTAGTTTAGAGTACACAGTGAAGTGATGGACACACACAGTGTTGACATAAAGGGAGGGAACACACAGTGGTAGAGGAGTGAGTAAGAGTGAGGCAGTGGAGAGAGAGTGGAAGGTACAAGTTGCAGTAGGAATTAGAAGTAAAGGTACAATGTTGTGGTGGATGAAGGGGAGTACACTGTTGTAGTGGATGAAAGGAGTAGAAGTGATGAGAGCAATGTTGTAGTGGATAAGGATTTTGGTACAATGATGTAGTCGATAGGGGAGTAAATGTGTACAATATTTGCAGTGGACAGTGGACATGGAGAAAGGAGTTAGGTAATGCACAATGTGCAGTGGATAAAGGAGTAAGCAAGGTACAATGTTGTAGTGTATAAGGGAGTAGAAGTAAGGCAATGACTTTGGTGGATGGGGTAAGCAGGAATGCAATTTGCTGTGGATAAGAGGGTGTAAGTAGGACCAGTGTTGTATTGGATAAGGGAAGTAGAAGTAAGGTACAATGTTGTAGTGGATAAGGGAGTATGTAGGTACAATGTTGCAATAGATAAAAAGAGTACGTAAGGTACAATATTTAGTGGCTAAGGTAGTAGGTATGGTGCAATGATGTAGAGGGATAAAGGAGAAAGTATGAAGCAATGTTTTACTGAATAAGGGGGAGCAGGTACGGTAGAATATTCTAGGATTGATGAGGGAAGTAAATAAGGTACAATGCTGTTTGTGGAAAGGAGGTAAGTAAGGTGCAATGATGATGTAGAGGGATAAGGGGAGTAAAGTAAGGTGCAATGATATAGTTGATAAAGGAATTAGGTTCAGTACAATGTTGTAGTTCATAGAGAGTAGGTAAGGTACAATGTGTGCAGTGGATAAAGGGAGTAATTAAATTGCAATGTTGTTGAGTAGGGAATAAAAGTAAAGGTGGAATGTTGTAGTGGATAAAGGGAGTAGTGGATAAGTGCATACACAGTTGTAGTGGATAGGGGAGTAAGTAGGAGCAATGTTGTAGTGGATAAGCAAGTAGGTACGATACAATGATGTAGTGGATAAGGGGGAGTAGGTAAGGTACAATGTTGCAGCAGTTAAGGAGTAAGTACGGTGAAATGATGCTTAGTTGATAAAGGGGTAGTTAGGGTACAAGTTGTAATTCATAAAGGGAGAGTAAAGGTACACTGTCGTAGTAGAAGTGAGTTAGTAATGAGCGATCTTGCTTGGTAGGTGAGAGTAGAGTAAAAGGTACAATGTTGCAGTAGATAACGGAGTAAGTGATGAGCAATGTTGTAGTGAATAAGTAAGTAAAATTACGATACAATGATGTAGTTGATAAAGGGGAATAGAGTAAGGTTCAAAATGTTGCAGTAGATAAAAGAGTAAGTAAAGGTACAATGTTGTGGTGGATACAAAAGTAGTAGGTAAAAGATACGATGATGTAAGAGGAAAGGGAGTAAGTATGAAGCAATGTTTTGGTGAATAAGGGAAGCAAATTGCAATTTTAATATTGTAGTTGATAAAGGGGCAAGTAGGGAATTACAATGCTGTTGTGGAGAAAAGGAGGTAAGTAAGCTGCAATGATGTGAGTGGATAAAGGTAGTAGTACCCAGTGATGTGGTTGATAAGAGGTAGGTAAAAAGTACAATGTTGTAGTGGATAGGGAGAAGAGTAGAAACAATGATGTACTGAATAAAGAATGTGGGAATTTTAATGTTGCCAGTGGATAAGGAGTAAGAAGTAAGGAGCAATGCTGTAATGGATAAAGGAGTAGGTAAGGTACAATGTTGTACTGGATAAAAGAAGGGAGTAAGTAGGAACAATGTTGCTTAGTAGATAGGGGGAGTAGAAGTAAGGCGCAATGTTGTTGAGTAAAGGAAGTAAAGTAAGGTGGGAATATTTATGGTGGATAGGGAGTAGTGGATAAGAAGAGGATACTAAGTTGTAGTCGATAGGGAGTAAGTAAGAACAATGTTGTAGTGGATAAGTAATTAGGTACGGTACAATTATGAGTTGATAAAGGGAGTAGAGTAAGTTACAATGTTGCAGTAGTTAAAAAGGGAGTAAAGTACGGTGAAGTGATGTAGTTGATAACAGGTAGGGAACGTACAATGTTGCTTGTAATTCATAAGGGAGGAAGTAAGGTACACTGTCGTAGTAGAGTGAGTAAAGTAATGAGCAATTTTGCAGTGGATGAGGGAGTAGGTAAGGTACAATGTTGGAAGATAAAGGAGTAAGTAAGGTACAATGTTAAAGGTGGATGAGGGGTAAGTGAAGTACAACGTTGGCAGTGAATAAAAGTAAGTAGAGCAATGTTGTAGTGGGACAAATTAGGTACGGTACAATGATGTAGTGGATAAGGAGTAAATAAGGTACAATGTTGCCGTGGATAGGAGTGTAGGTAGGGAGCAGCGGTGGTTCATAAAGAGGTAGGTAAGGCACAATGTTGCGGTGGATGGGGGTAAGTAAGTAGCAATGTTGTAATCGATAGGGAGAAGGTACGGTACAATGATGTAGTTGATAAAGGGAGTAGGTAAGGTACTATCTTGCAGTAGATATAGGAGTAAGTAAGGTAGTATGTTGTGGTGGATCATGGAGTAGGTAAGGTGCAATGATGAGGGAGGAGGATGAGGGAGTAAGTATAAAGCAATGTTTTAGTGAATGCAGGAGCAAGGTACGGTACAATATTGTAGTTGATAAGGGAGTAAGTAAGGTCAAATGCTGAGAGTAGATAGAATGATAAGTGGATACAAAAGTTGTAGCCGATAAGGAAGTAAGCAAGGTGCAATGTTGTAGTGTATAAATAAGGGTACCGTAATAATGATGTAGTTGATAAGGGAGTCGAGGGAAGGCAAAGGTGCAATGTTGTAATCCATAAGGGAGTAGAAGTACAATGTTGTAAGGTACACCGTCGTAGTAAAAGAATTGAGTAAGCGATGAGCAATTTTGAACTGAAATGAGGGGAGCAGGTAAGGTACAATGCCGCAGGATACAAGGGAGTAAGTAAGAGCAAATGTTGCAGTGGATAAGGGAGAAGGCACGGTACAATAATGTAGTTGATAAGGAGCGTAGGTAAGGTACAATGTTGCAGTAGATAAAGGACTAAGTAAGGCACACAATGTTGTGGTGGATAAGGAGCAGGTAAGGAGCAACGCCGTAGTTCATAAGGAGTAGAACGTAAGGTACGAAGTATAGTAAATAAAGAGAAAGAGCAAGGTACAATGTTGTGGTGGATAAGGGAGTAGGTAAGGTGCAAATGATATAGAGGATAAAGGAGTAAGTAAGGTGCAATTATGTAGTTGATAAGGAAGTAGGTAAGGTGCAATGTTGTAGTTGATAAGGGAATAGGTAAGGTACAATGTTGCAGTGGATAAGTGAGCAGGTAAAGTACAATGTTGGAGTGGATAAGGGAGAAAGTAAGGAGCAATGTTGTGGTGGATAAGGCAGTAAGTAAGGTACAGAGTTGTAGTGGATAAGAAAGTAAGTGAGGACCAATATTAAAGAGGATAAGCTAGTAGGTAAGGAACAATGCTGCAGTGGATAAGGGAGTAGGTAAGAACCAATCATGTAGTTGATAAGGGAGTAAGTAAGGTACAATATTGCAGTGGATAAGTCAGTAGGTAAAGTACAATGTTGAAGTGGATCAGGGAGAAAGTAAGGAGCAATGTTGTAGTGGATAAGGGAGTAGGTAAGTCACAATGTTGCAGTGGATAAAGGAGCAAGTAAGGTGCAATGTTGTTGTGGATACGGGAGAAGGTAAGGTACAATGTTGTAGTGGATAAGGTAGTAGGTAAGGTACAATGTTGCACTAGATAAAGGGGTAGGAAAGGTACAATGTTGTTTTGGATAGGTGAGTAAGTAAGGTGCAATGATGTAGAGGATAAGAGAGTAAGTAAGAAGCAATGTTGTAGTGGATAAGGGAGTAGGTAAAGTACGATATTGTAGTTGATAAGGGAGAAAGTAATGTACAATGTTGAGGTGGATGAGTGAGTAAGTGAGGTGGAATGAGGTATTTGAAAAGGGAGTAGGTAAGGCGCAATGTTGTAGTTCATAAGGGAGGAAGTGAGGTACAATGTTACAGTAGTTAAGGGAGTAAGTACGGTGAAATGATGTAGTTCATACGGGAGTAGGTAAGGTACAATGTTGTAATTCGTAAGGGAGGAAATAAGGTACACTGACGTAGTAGATAAGGGAGTAAGTAAGGTGCCATTGTATCTTACCTACTCCCTTGTCTACTACTTCAATGTACCTTACCTACTCCATTATCCACTGCAACATTCATCCATACTTACTTCCTTATTCGGTACAACATTGCACATTACTTACTCCTTTATCTACTGCACCATTGTACCTTACTTACTCCCTTTGCTACTGCAAGATTGTACCTTATCAATTCCCTTATCTACCACAACATTGCTCCTTACTTACTCCCTTATTAACTACTGTATTGCACCTTACCTACTCCCTCATCCACTACAACATTGCTCGTTACTTACTCCTTTATCCACTGTAACATTATACCTTACCTACTCCCTTATCCACTACAACATTGCTCCTTCCTTACTTCCTTATCAACTACAAAATTACACCTTACCTACTCCCTTATCCACTGCATCTTTGCACCTTACCTACTCCCTTATCGACCACATCAATGGACCTTACTTAATCCCCTTTCCACTACAACATTGTACCTCACTTCCTCCCTTATCAACTACATCAGTGTATCTTACTTCCTGCCTTATCAACTACAACGTTGTACCTTACCTACTCAGTTATTAACTGCAACATTTTACCTTACTTACTCCATTATCAACTATATCATTGCACCTTACTTCCTCCCTTATCCACTTCAACATTGTACCTGACCTACTTCCTTATAAACTACAACATTGCACCTTACGCCTTATCAACTACATCATTTCACCTTACTTCCTCCCTTATCAACTACAACATTGTACCTTACTTACTCCATTATCAACTATATCATTGCACCTTACTTCCTCCCTTATCCACTACAACTTTGTACCTGACCTACTCCCTTATAAACTACAACATTGCACCTTACGCACTTATCAACTACATCATTGCACCTTACTTACTCCCTTATCCACTACAACATCGTACCTTACTTACTTCCTTATCCACTACTACATTGTATCTTACCTACTCCCTTATCCACTACTACATTGCATCTTACCTACTCCCTTATCCACTGTAAAATTGATTCATACTTACTGTCTTATCCAGTACAACATTGAACCTTACTTACTCCTTTATCTACTGGAACATTGTAAATTACCTACTCCCTCATCCACTACAACATTGTACCTTACTTACTCACTTATCTACTGCAAGATTGTATCTTACCTACTCCCTTATCTACTATAACAATGCTCCTCACTAACTCCCTTATCCACTACAGCATTCCACTTTACTTACTCCCTTATCCACGACACCATTTCACCTTACTTACTCCCTTATCCACTACAACATTGCACTTTACTTACTCCCTTATCCACTGCAACATTGCACCTTACTTACTCCCTTATCCACTACAACATTGCTATTTACTTACTTCCTTATTCACTACAACATTGCACCTTACATTACTCCCTTATCCACTACATCATTGCACCTTACTTACTCCCTTATCTACTACATCAATGTACCGTACTTCCTTTCTTATGAATAACAACATTGCACCTTACTTACTCCCTTATCTTCTACATCAGTGGACCTTACCTACTCCCTTATCCACTACAACTTTGTACCTTACATCCTCCCTTATTAACTACATCAGTGTGCCTTACTGCCTCCCTGATCAACTACAGTGTTGTACCTTACCTACTCCCTTATCAACTGCAACACTGTACCTTACTTACTCCCTTATCAACTACATCATTGCACCTTACTTCCTCCAGTATCTATTACAAAATTGTACCTTACCAACTCCCTTATCCACTGCATCATTGCTCCTTACCTACTCCATTATCTACTTCTTGTACCTTACATTATCTACTACTGCCATTATCATCAATGCAACTTGTACCTTTACTTTCTCCCTATGAATTACAACATTGTACCTTACCTTTTATCCTACAACATCCCTACATATCCTTACTTCCTCCCTGATCAACTACAATATTGTACCTTACCTACTCCCTTATCAACTGCAACACCGTACCTTACCTACTCCCTTATCAACTACATCATTGCACCTTACTTCCTCCCGTATCCACTACAACGTTGTACCGTACTTCCTGCCTTATCAACTACAACGTTGTACCGTACTTTCTGCCTTATCAACTACAACATTGCACCTTACTCCCTTATCAACTACTTCATTGCACCTTACCTACTCCCTTATCTACTACAACATTGATCCTTACTTACTCCCTGATCCACTACAGCATTGCACTTTACTTACTCCCTTATTCACTACACCATTGCACCTTACCTACTCCCTTATACACAAAAACATTGCACTTTACCTACTCCGTTATCCACAGCAACATTGTAGCTTACTTACTCCCTTATCCTCTACAAAATTGTACCTTACCTACTCTCTTATCCACTACAAAATTGTACCTTACCTACTCCTTTTTCCACTACTTCATTGCACCTTACCTACTCCCTTATTTACTACATCATTGGACCTTACTTACTTCTTTTTCCACTACAACATTGTACCTTACTTCCTCCCTTATCAACTACAACGTTGTACCTTACCTACTCCCTTATCAACTGTAACAGTGTACCTTACTTACTCCCTTATCAGCTACATCATTAAACCTTACTTCCTCCCTTATCCACTACAACATTGTACCTTACTTCCTCCCTTATCAACTACAACGTTGTACCTTACCTACTCCCTAATGAACTACAACATTGCACCTTACACCCTAATGAACTACATCATTGCACCTTACTTACTCCCTTAACTTCTACATCAGTGGACCTTACCTACTCCCTTATCCACTACAACATTGTACCTTACATCCTCCCGTATTAACTACATCAGTGTACCTTACTTCCTCCCTGATTAACTACAGTGTTGTACCTTACCTACTCCCTTATCAACTACAACATTGTACCTTACCTACTCCCTTATCCACTGCATCATTGCTCCTTACCTACTCCATTATCTACTTCATCAATGCAACTTATTTACTTTCTTATGAATTACAACATTGTACATTACCTACTCCCTTATCCACTACAACATTGTACCTTACATCCTCCCTTATTAACTACATCAGTGTACCTTACTTCCTCCCTGATCAACTACAATGTTGTACCTTACCTACTCCCTTATCAACTGCAACACCGTACCTTACCTACTCCCTTATCAACTACATCATTGCACCTTACTTCCTCCCGTATCCACTACAACGTTGTACCGTACATTCTGCCTTATCAACTACAATGTTGTTCCCTTTAATTACTCCCTTTATCAACATACAATCCACATTGTACCTTACCCCCTTCCCTATCAACTACTTCATTGCACCTTACTTCTACTCCCTTATCCACTACAACATTGATCCCTTACTTACTCCCCCTGATTATCCACTACAAAATTGTACCTTACCTTACCTACTCCATTATCTACTTCATCAATGCAACTTATTTACTTTCTTTATGAATTACAACATTGTAATTTACTTACTCCCTTATCCACTACAACTTTGTACCTTACATCCTCCCTTATTAAGTACATCAGTGTACCTTACTTCCTCCCTGATCAACTACAATATTGTACCTTACCTACTCCCTTATCAACTGCAACACCGTACCTTACCTACTCCCTTATCAACTACATCATTGCACCTTACTTCCTCCCGTATCCACTACAACGTTGTACTGTACTTCCTCCTCTTATCAACTACAATGTTGTTCCTTACCTACTCCCTTATCAACTACAACATTGCACCTTACTCCCTTATCAACTACTTCATTGCACCTTACCTACTCCCTTATCTACTACAACATTGATCCTTACTTACTCCCTGATCCACTACAGCATTGCACTTTACTTACTCCCTTATTCACTACACCATTGCACCTTACCTACTCCCTTATACACAAAACATTGCACTTTACCTACCTGTTATCCACAGCAACATTGTACCTTTACCTACTCCCTTTATCCACTACAACATTGCCCCTACCTTACTTACTTCCTTATCCACTACAGCATTGTACTTTACTTACTCCTTTATCCACTACACCATTGCTCCTTACTTACTCCCTTTATTCACTACAACATTGCACCTTACTTACTCCCTTTATCCACTACAACATTGTACCTTACTTACTCCAATTATCCACTACAACAATGCTACTTACTTACTACTCCTTTATCCACTACAACATTGTACACTACTTACTCCCCTTTATCCACTGCATCATTGCACCTTACTTTACTCCCCCTTATCCACTACAACATTGAACCTTACTTACTCCCTTATCTACTGCAACATTGCACCTTACTTACTCCCTTATCCGCTACAGCATTGCACTTTACTTACTCCCTTATCTACTACAACATTGCTCCTTACTTACTCCCTTATTAACTACACCATTGTACCTTACCTACTCCATTATCCTCTACAACACAGCTCATTACTTACTCCCTTATCCACTACAACATTGCACTTTACTTACTCCCTTATCCACTACAACATTGTACCTTACTTACTCCCTTATCTACTGCAACATTGTACCGTACCTACTCCCTTATCTACTACAACATTGCTCCTTACTTACTCCCTCATCCACTACAGCATTGCACTTTACTTACTCAATTATCCACTACACCATTGCACCTTACCTACTCTCTTATTCACTACAACATTGCACTTTACTTACTCCCTTATCCACTGCAACATTGTACCTTACTTACCCCCTTATCCACTATAACAATGCTACTTACTTACTTCCCTATCCACTACAAAATTGTACCTTTTATCTACTCCCCTTATCCACTCAACATTGTACATTGTTGTCCACCTTGTACCTTATCTACTCCCTTATCCACTTAACATTGTAACCTCCTTTTATCTCCACTGCAACATTGTACCTTACTACTCCTTTTATCTACTACAACATTGTTCCTTACTTACTCCCTTATTAACTACAGCATTGCACCTTACTACCCATTATCCACTACAACACAGCTCATATTACTTACTCCCTAATCCACTACAACATTGTTCCTACTTACTCCCTATCCACGATACAATTATACTTTACCAACTCCATTATCCACTCCCCTTATCGGCTATATGCTTGACCTTGCTTACTCCCCCTTTCCACTACAACATTGTAATTTTACTTCCTCCCCTTATCAACTACATCAGTGTAGCTTACTTCCGGACTTATCAACTACAACGTTGTAATTTTACTTACTACCCTTATCAACTGCAACATTGTACCTTTTACTTACTCCCTTCCATCAACTATATCATTGCACCTTACTTCCTCCCTATCCACTACATCATTGCACCTTACTTCCTCCCTTTATCCACTACAACATTGTACCTTACCTACTCCCCTTATAAACTACAACATTGCACCTTACGCCCTTATCAACTACATCATTGCACCTTACGTACTTCCTTTATCCACTCACAAGATTGTACCTTACCTACTCCCTTATCTACTACAACATTGTTCCTTACTTACTCCCTCATTCACTACAGCATTGCACTTTTACTTACTCCAATTATCCACTACACCATTGTAACCTTACCTACTCTCTTATTCACTACAACATTGCACTTTTTACTTACTCCCCTATCCACTGCAACATTGTACCTTTTACTTACTCCCCTTTATCCACTATAACAATGCTACTTCTACTTCTTACTTCCCTATCCACTACAAAATTGTACCTTTATCTACTCCCCCTTATCCACTACAACATTGTACCTTACTTACTCCCTTTTATCTACTGCAACATTGTACCTTTTCCCTCACCTACTCCTCTTTATCTACTACAACATTGCTCCTTACTTACTCCCTTATTAACTACAGCATTGCACCTTACCTACTCCATTATCCACTATAACACAGCTCATTACTTCCTCCCTAATCCACTACAACATTGTACCTTACCTACTCCCTTTTAAACTACAACATTGCAACTTACTCCCTTACCTACTTCCTTCAACAACTACAAAAATTGTATCCACTACATCATTGCACCTTCCTTTCTCTTACTCCCTTTCCACTACAACATTGTACCTTTACTTCCTCCCTTATCTACTACATCAGTGTACCTTACTTCCTCCTGTATCCACTACATCATTGCACCTTACTTTCTCCCGTATCCACTACATCATTGCACCTTACTTACTCCCTTATCCACTACAACATTGTACCTTTACTTACTGCCTTATCAACTACAAAATTGCACATTACTTACTCCTTTATCCACTACAACATTGCAGCTTCTTTACTTACTCCCCTTTATCCACTGCAACATTGTACCTTACTTACTTCCATTATCTACTACAATCATGCTACTTACACTTACTCCCTTATCAACTACAAAATTGTACCTTTACCTACCTCCCCTTTACTTATCCACTGCATCATTGCACCTTACTTTACTCCCCTTTCCACTACAACATTGTACCTTACATCCTCTCCCTTATCAACTACATCAGTGTACCTTACTTCCTCCCCTTATCCACTATTTAACACAGTACCTTACTTCCTCCCTTATCCACTCACAACGTTGTACCTTACCTACTCCCTTTTAAACTACAACATTGCACCTTACGCCCTTATCAACTACATCATTGCACCTTACTTACTTCCTTATCCACTACAACATTGTACCCTACTTACTTCCTTATCCACTACAACATTGCGCATTTCCCATTCCCTCATCCACTACAACATTGTACCTTTCTTACCCCCTTATCCACTGCAACTTTGTACCTTACCTACTCCCTTATCCACTTCAACATTGAAGCGTACCTACACCCTTATCCACTGCAACATTGATTCGTACTTACTGCCTTATCCAGTACATCATTGAACCTTACTTACCTCCTTTTATCAACATTGCACCTTACCTACTCCCTTTTTATCCACTACAACATTGTACCTTACTTACTCCCCTATCAACTACATCATTGTACCTTACTTTCCTCCCTTATCAACTAAAACGTTGTACCTTACCTACTCCCCTTATCAACTACAACATTGCACCTTACGCCCCCTTATCAACTACATCATTGCATCTTTACTTACTCCCTTATTCACTACAACATTGCTCATTACCCACTCTCTTCATCAACTACAACATTGCACCTTACGCCCCCCTTATCAACTACAACATTGTACCTTTACCTACTCCCCTTATTCACTCACTACAACATTGCTTATTACCCACTCCTCTTCATCCACTACAACATTGCACCTTACTTACTCCATTATCCACTGCATCATTGCTCCTTACATACTTCCTTATCCACTACAAAATTGTAACTTACCTACTACCTTATCCACTGTATCATTGCACCTTACCTACTACCTTCATCCACTGTATCATTGCACCTTACTTCCTCCCTTATCAACTACAACATTGTACCTTTTACCTACTCCCTTATAAAATAGAACATTGCACCTTACGCCCTTATCCACTACATCATTGCACCGTCCTTTCTCCCTTTTCCACTACAACATTGTACCTTACATCCTCCCTTATCAACTACATCAGTGTACCTTACTTCCTCCCTTTATCAACTACAACATTGTACCTTACTCCTGCCTTATCAACTACATCATTGTACCTTACCTACTCCCTTTATCTACTACAACATTGCACTTACTTACTCACTGATCCACTACAGCATTGCACTTTTTACTCTGCTCCCTTTTATCCACTACAACATTGCACCTTACCTACTCCCTTTATACACTACAACATTGCACTTCTACTAACTCCCCTTATCCACTACAAAATTGTACCCTTACTCTACCCTTTGTCCACTGCATCATTGCACCTTACTTACTCACTTATCCACTGTAACATTGTACCTTAGCTACTCGCTGATCCACTGCAACATTGATTCATACTTACCCCTTTATCCACTACAACATTGTACCTCCTCACTTTATTCCTTTATCTACTACATCATTGGACCTTACTTTAGTTCCTTTCAACTACAACATTGTACCTTTACTTACTCCTTATCAACTGCAACGTTGTACCTTACCTACTCCCCTTCGTTATCTACTGCAACATTGTACCTTTTACCTACTCGCTGATCCACTGCAACATTGATTCATACTTTACTCCCTTATCCAGTACAACATTGTACCTACTCACTTTTACTCCTTTATCTACAGCAACATTGTACCTTACCTACTCCCTCATCCACTACAACATTGTACCTTACTCACTCTCTTATCAACTGCAACATTGTACCTTATCTACTCCGTTATCTCATTACAACATTGCTCCTTACTTAATCCCATATCCGGGTAATGTAAGTCCCAAAACATTAAGTCAATTCTAACATGTACCAGGTTTTAATCGTAGAATATGTGTACTTTTAATTGATGGCTAGGTTTCTCTTTTGTCGCCAATTCCTGAAGGGATGGTGTAAATCCAGCCAGGGTCCATGCAGGAAGCAAATGTACTGTAAGTCCCCATGGTCCCTAGTATGGTGATCTACCTTCAGTTGTTGGCGATCAATAGCCTGTTTTTTATATTGTATCGTCTTGTATAGTTCCAATGTTTTAGATTTTTGTTACTAGTTTTATATCTATATCTGTGATAACCTAGTTATTTTACTGTCCTTCGTCAGCCGAATTTTATAATTTCACTTAAATTGTCGATATATTTATAACTTGCTTTAGTCACGATATGGCTGAAATATTGCCGATGTGACTTAAAATCTTAACTCACTCACTCACTCACTACTCCCTTATCCACTACAGCATTGCACTTTACTTACTCCCTTAACCACTACGAAATTGTATCTTGCCTTCTCCCTTATCAACTGCATCATTGCACCTTACCTACTCCCTTATCTACTTCATCAATGTACCTTATTTCCTTCCTTATGAATTACAACATTGTACCTTACCTACTCCCTTATGGACTATGTCATTGCACCTTACTTACGCCCTAATCTTCTACATTATTGGACCTTACTTACTCCCTTTTCCACTACAACATTGTACCTTACATCCTCCCTTATCAACTACATCAGAGTACCTTACTTCCTCCCGTATCAACTACAACGTTGTACCTTACCTACTCCCTTATCAACTGCAACACTGTACCTTACCTACTCGCTGATCCACTGCAACATTGATTCATACTTACTCCCTTATCCAGTACAACATTGTACCTCACTTACTCCTTTATCTACAGCAACATTGTACCTTACCTACTCCCTCATCCACTACAACATTGTACCTTACTCACTCCCTTATCAACTGCAACATTGTACCTTACCTACTCCGTTATCTACTACAACATTGCTCCTTACTTAATCCCATATCCGGGTACGTAAGTCCCAAAACATTAAGTCAATTTAAGTGTACCAGGTTTTTAATCGTAGAATATGTGTACTTTTAATTGATGGCTAGGTTTCTCTTTTGTCGCCAATTCCTGAAGGGATGGTGTAAATCCAGCCAGGGTCCATGCAGGAAGCAAATGTACTGTAAGTCCCCATGGTCCCTAGTATGGTGATCTACCTTCAGTTGTTGGCGATCAATAGCCTGTTTTTTATATTGTATCGTCTTGTATAGTTCCAATGTTTTAGATTTTTGTTACTAGTTTTATATCTATATCTGTGATAACCTAGTTATTTTACTGTCCTTCGTCAGCCGAATTTTATAATTTCACTTAAATTGTCGATATATTTATAACTTGCTTTAGTCACGATATGGCTGGAAATATTGCCGATGTGACTTAAAAAATCTTAACTCACTCACTCACTCCTCACTCACTACTCCCTTATCCACTACAGCATTGCACTTTACTTACTCCCTTAACCACTACGAAATTGTATCTTGCCTTCTCCCTTATCAACTGCATCATTGCACCTTACCTACTCCCTTATCTACTTCATCAATGTACCTTATTTCCTTCCTTATGAATTACAACATTGTACCTTACCTACTCCCTTATGGACTATGTCATTGCACCTTACTTACGCCCTAATCTTCTACATTATTGGACCTTACTTACTCCCCTTTCCACTACAACATTGTACCTTACATCCTCCCTTATCAACTACATCAGAGTACCTTACTTCCTCCCGTATCAACTACAACGTTGTACCTTACCTACTCCCTTATCAACTGCAACACTGTACCTTACTTACTCCCTTATCAACTACATCATTGCACCTTACTTACTCCCTTATCCAGTACAACATTGTACCGTACTTCCTGCCTTATCAACTACAATGTTGTACCTTACCTACTCCCTTATCAACTACAACATTGCAACTTACTCCCCTATCAACAACATCATTGTACCTTACTTCCTCCCTTATCAACTAAAACGTTGTACCTTACCTACTCCCTTATCAACTACAACATTGCACCTTACGCCCTTATCAACTACATCACTGCACCTTACCTACTCCTTATTCACTACAACATTGCTCATTACCCACTCTTTCATCAACCACAACATTGCACCTTACGCCCTTATCAACTACATCATTGCATTCCTACCTATTCCCTTATTCACTACAACATTGCCTTCATTACCTACTCCTTCATCCACTACAACATTGCATTCTTACTTACTCCTTTATCCACTGCAACATTGTACTTTACCTACTCCCTTATATCTACTACAACATTGCCATTACTACTCCTTACTATCCACTACAGCATTGCACTTTTACTTACCCTTATCCACATTGTTCATTACTTTACTCCCTTTATCCACTGCAACATTGTTCATTACTACTTTTATCCATTCACTCTTTATCCACTACATCATTGCTCCTTACTCACTTCCTTATCCACTACGAAATTGTAGCTTATCTTCTCCCTTATCCACTGCATCATTGCACCTTACCTACTCCCTTATCTACTTCATCAATGTACCTTTATTTCCTTCCTTCTGAATTACAACATTGTACCTTACCTACTCCCTTATCAGCTACATCATTGCACCTTACTTATGTTGCATTGATAAGGGAGTAGGTAAGGCGCAATGATGCAGTGGATAAGGGAATAAGTAAGGAGCAATGTTGTAGTGGATAAGGGAGTAAATAACGAGCAATGTTGTAGTGGATAAGCTTAGTAGATAAGGTACAATGTTGTAGTGGATAAGGGAGTAAGTAAGGTGCAATGTTGTAGTGGATAAAGGAGTAAGTAAGGTGCAATGTTGTAGTGGATAAGGGAATACGTAAGGTACAATGTTGTAGTTGATAAGGGAGTAAGTAAGGTACATTGAAGTAATAGAGAAAGGAGTAAGTAAGGTGCAATGTTGCAGTAGATAAGGGAGTCAGTAAGGTACAATGTTGTAGTGGATAAGGGAGTAGGTAAGGTGCAATGCAGTAGATAAGGGAGTAAGTAAGGTACAATTTTGTAGTGAATAAGGGAGTAGGTAAGGTACAATGTTGCAGTAGATAAAGTAGTAAGGAAGGTGCCATGTTATAGTGGATAAGGGAGTAAGTACGAAGCAATGTTGTAGTGGATAAGGGAGTAGGTAAGGAACAATGTTGTAGTGGATACGGGAGGAAGTAAAGTACAATGTTGTAGTGGATAAGGGAGTAGGTAAGGTACACTGTTGCAGTAGATAAGGGAGTAAGTAAGGTACAATGTTGTAGTGGATAATGGAGTAAGTAAGGTAAAATGTTGCAGTGGTAAGGGGATAAGTAAGGTACAATGTTGCAGTAGATAACGGAGTAAGTAAGGTACACTGTTATAGTGGATAAGGGAGTAGGTAAAGTACAATGTTGCAGTAGATAAGGGAGTAAGTAAGGTACAATTTTGTAGGGCATAAGAGAGTAAGTAAGGTAAAATCTTGCAGTGGTAAGGGAATAAGTAAGGTACAATGTTGCAGTAGATAAAGGAGTAAGTAATGTACAATGTTATAGTGGATAAGGGATTAAGTATGAAGCAATGTTGTAGTGGATAAGGGAGTAGGTAAGGAACAATGTTGCAGTGGATAAGGGAGTAAGTAAGGTAAAATGTTGCAGTGGTAAGGGAATAAGTAAGGTATAATGTTGCAGAGAACAAGGGAGAAAGTAAGTTGGAATGTTGGATTGGATAAGGTAGTAAGTGAATGAGTGAGTCATTATGTAACGTCACATCGGCAATATTGCAGTCATATCGTGACGAGAACTCATTTGACATTGAAATGGAATATATGTATGTTATGAAAACCTGTCGACGAAGGACAGTGAAACAACTAGAAAAATCACTATTAGAATTAAAACTAGCGTGGGAAGTTTAAACTAATAGCACTATTTGGACAATACAATATAAAAAACGGGCTATAGATCGCCAACAACTGAAGGTAGATCACCTTACTAGGAAGATAATGGAGTAAGTAAGGTACAATGTTGTAGTGGATAAGGGAGTAAGTAAGGGACACTGTTGTAGTGGATATAGGAGTAAGTAAGGTACAATGTTGCAGATGGCAAGGGTGAGGTGAAGTGAGATAGGGTTTAACGTCGTGCTTGAGAATATTTCGCTCATATCACGACGTGCATGCGTGTGTATGTGTATGTGCGGCTGCTTGTACTAGCCCAGACTTAAGCTGGTTTTATAGGGCTAGCCCACTGAGATACCACGCCGCAGTGAAGCATGGATACCCCACATAGACACATTATACTGACTCCGAGCCGATTCAGTCCTTGTTGTACCCATTAATGCCGAGCGCCAGGCAGGGACCAACAAGTAAGATATTTTAACGTCTTTTGGTATGACGCGGTCGAGTATCGAACCCGCGACCTTCCGCTCTACGGGCGGACGCTCTAACCACTACACGACGGCGGCGGTCCAGAGGGCAAAGGAGTAAGTAGGGTACAATGTTGCAGAGGAGAAGAGAGTAAGTAAGGTACGATGTTGCAGTGGGTAGGGAGGAAAAGAAGCGACAAAACCCTTTCCACATCCATAAAAAATCTCTGCTTAAAGCAGATTGTACAGTTGTGACAATGCCATAAGTATCTATTTGTTTAACCGGTATTACAGCAGTACGATGTTGTTTGTAAAGAAACTGAGTCTGGACCAGACATCTCACCATATGATATGATGACAGAGCATGACTGTGTTTTTGAATCACTATCAATTAGTGGTGATACCAGGTTTTCGCTAAAAGGTGAACGTATCCTGCCCCACCGGTGACACCCATCACAAACATATGCTACGTCTAGTCGCTTGTTCACCTGGAATAATTCGGGAACGTCAAAATAGGGAATTGCATCGGACATCAATTCTGTCACCGATGTATCAAATTCATCCACATGTCTACTTGCAAACAAGGATAAGTTTGGACTCTCGCAGAGAACGCGTTACGAGAAGTAGGCGGTGCATGGCAATGAGCAAACCATTTTGTTTGCGAAAGGTAGAGTAGATGGAAGCTAGAGCACATGCAGTACATGACGATGAAATTGATTCCGAGCGTAGCTGCACACGCCTTGCTCATAAGGCTCTCACCCATCGAACTCTACTTGATCGCGGACAACCTGGGGCCCCTTCGCTAACAATGACAAGCGCCATTGGGCGGCACTCATACATGCTAATACGGGTCAATTGTCAGGTCGGTGATCAATTTATCCTTGTTTGCCTGTACCATAAAACTTCTTGAAAGCTTTACTGAGGCCTTGCATATTGTAACCTTGATCAACTTCTGAGCAAGAGTGGTTAGACACTCTTTGAAATTCTGAAGTAAGGTGCAATGTTGCAAGGTTAGAAAATACGTAAGGTCACGTTCTTTAACAATAGTCCTGCAATATTACAAAGGGGACACCAGAAATTGACTTCGCATAACTGTTCATAAATGGGGTATCAAACCAAGGCATTGAACCCATCATGACGAGTGAACTATTTGACAACTAGGCCGTACCAACACCCTGATGTAGATAAGACATCTAGAAAGGAATGTCGTTCCTACTGACCACCAGCCATAGTATTTACCTTTCGGTTTATATTTTGAGTCATGTTGAGGAACGGCATCCTCGAAACAGATTTTGTATCTGCACCAGGTTCCAACAGTTTGCTCACACTGCACAGTTCTTGGATTAACAGGTGAATTAAGGTCGCAGTTTGTCTAGCGAAACGTACCCCAACAGGCACATCCGAAGCCCTTGATTAGTGATCAGAGAAGCATGTGATCAATTTATTTCACTGTCGTATCATGCATGGTGTAGAAAGCTTCAGAAAAGCAAATAATTAGCCAGTGTTAAAAATATGTGAGTTTTAGAAGCAATCAAGCTAATGCGACCACAAGAGAAACGCTGTATGTGCATAAAACACTAATAAATTGTACTGCCATGTATGAAAATGGCTCACTGATTTAGTAAGTAACACATCATCATAACCCATCGATTTTCACAATATGGAGTATTGGATTCATTGGTAAAGACATCATTCTTTACACACTGTCGACGCATTCCCCGAAAGCTATATTTGCTACAATATTGTTTTGTGTCTTCCAGAATGGACACCTTCCCGAAGTGTTCTGTCTGTCAGCGGCAGTTTACCCTGAAAAGCCCCGCCCCTACCTACTGCCCTGTCTACACGCTGTGTGTGAGACGTGTGTGACAACTGCTGCTAGTGGCGTGATATCATGCTCTACATGTCACAGGGAGGTCAACCTCACGGAAGCAAGTCTCAGAAGGATGAAGTTAGGCAACAAGAAATATTCCACCTGGCAATCAAACATTATCCCACAAAGCTTCTCTGTACACATGAAGATGACGGAAACCAGGCTGTGTTTTGGTGTCAGGAGTGTGAGGAGTTACTCTGTGAATTCTGCCAGAACATGCACAACAGCTTCAGACACTCAAGAAACCACCCCTTGTACAACTTTGGGGGATATTGCCCCTCAAAATCTAGTGTGTGAAACAAATTGCAGAATACACAATCGTTATCCTCTTGATTTGTTTGACAAAAGATGCAACACATCTATCTGTAGCCGATGTTTGAGAGGAGAGCATGCTGGTCACGAGGTGGAAGATCTGGATGAGGCAGCTTTAGGAGGTAAACAACGGATTGAACAACACGTCAAAGATCTATCCTCGCTACTGTCTGATCAGCAAACACATCTTCAGAGCATCAGACAAGACATAAAGTTTACAGACGGGACACAGAACACACTGACGGAAACTATTGCACTGACGTTCCAGTCGTTAAGGTCTCAACTTGACCAGAGGGAGAAAGAACTCCTGATAGATCTTGAAAGTCAGACAAAGGAAACCAAGGAAACTCTACATGCTCTTCAAACCTCGTGTGAAACCGAACATGTCAGATGCAACGATGTTTCAGGATACATTAGGAAGAGTCTTCTCTATGCCTCGAAGTCGGCACTCCTGAAGCTTGAGAGTTCTGTTGATAGGGTAACTCGGACCTACCTAGAAACTGCTTCACCTCAAACATATGATGTTGCAACAGCTGTCTTCAACACCAACGGTCTGTCCAAACTGAAGTCAGATATGTCTGGATTTGGTACCATCACTGCTTTGAAAGAGGAAACAGCAAGAGACAGGACCGATGGTAAGCATATCAAAGCAGCTGTCCATTATCAATGATATGTGATATGATAATTCTGTAGAGCTTGTTTTATGCTTTCTCGGAAATAAATCATTACTCGGAAATTCTTGATACAATTTCAGACAAAGAAACACTGACCGATGACATTTTTGCGACCCTGACACAGAAACATGAAATGGTATGTCTAATAAGCTATCCCATACACGTATGAAAGAATAATAGGCGCTCAGTGGCCGTTTGTTAACATTTCGTAGTCCATATCTATTTAATTGAAACTGATTCGCCATGAAACCGGTTGGAGTAAAGTCTCCAGACAGTAAAAAGGCAGCAAAAGATGAACAATCCATGCTGGGTATCAAATTCATATGTTGATAATCTTGCTGCAGGTTCTTTGTTAGATGTTTTCCACTTGAAACCCGGTGTTTCCTCCTTCAACCAACACTCCTTGTTAATTCACCTATTCTCCCTGTCCATGTCATCTCTTCCCTGAATAGATAATTATGTTGGTTTTTGATAGAGAGACGAAAAGTTCATTATATGGATCAAAATAACTGTGTTGGATGGCAGAATCAGAACGTCAATGTATGAGAAAAGTGTCGGTGTTTGTTGTTGTTTGTTGAATACGGGTTCGTAGATGGCCTCCATCTTCTAACCAAAAACATATGTTACGTTTCAGGAGCTTGCAGAACTGAAATCGAACTTTGCTTCAGACAAAGAAAGACTTCAGCAGCTAACTGACAAGTTGAATGCTGAATCAAACAATATGAAACTGATATGTCATCTTGTCACACTTTTTGAGGAAATGTAGCTTTAATTACGAGAATGGCCAGAAGTGATATTACACTGACATTGCACATTTGTAGATGCTTCAGAATTTCAGATAACGATTGGATTGCAATAAATACTGTTTGAATGTCTACTGCTCAGGGAGCATCTACCAGTGACACCCTATGATTTGTCTTGTTCCGACTCGACCCTTAAGTCACAACGTTAAGCAAAATTATAACGTAAACAAAACTAATGGCCCAATAAAATAACCCTGTATATTATTTTAACAGGCGTATAATGTATATGTGAATGTGTGGTTTTAGTATGTTTGTTTAAATACAAACACATTTGCTAACATGAATTTTTTCACCAGCTGGTATTTTTTCGTATTTGTAGATGCTAGCTGAGAAAGACAGAAGCTTACAGGCCGCTTCAGAAACTATCAATCGTCTACAAACATTCCTGAATAGTACGTACAGATGCTTCTTATTACTTAAGACACCACTAAGCATGAGGATTTTACCATTTCATATTTAAATTACAATATTCAACTGTGTTTTAAGCCTTGATAATTCTATTTTTGCAGGATCAATTTGTTAATTTAACAAAAATAACTTTATGTTCAAGTTAAGGAACTCCAGCTGGATATTTGGCACTATTCGATCACTACACTCACATCCTGTTTTTACTTCCTATCTGTGGTTTGTTAATAGTAATTATTCTAGATTTCTTCACTCATGTGGAATACGATGTCGCCATTGTAATTGTTTGTACCATTGATATTACTCGTGCAACACAAGAAGACCCGTGGGAATGTGAGTCGATGTGTATACTACTGGAATAAAGCAACTGTGCATTATTCGATGTTATGCCCTTTTTAATGCCAAAAGATAGGAGCATGATTTGTGTGTTTTCCTTAATCACTGTTTAACTGTTGACAGGATAATATCGAAATCTGTATGATTTGATTCTCGGCATCGTGACACGCTCTTGACAAAATGTGGTGTAAAAAGTCAGTTCACTAATTTACTACCGTGAGTGTCCACCATTGATATTCTGGCCTTGACGTAAAGGTTGCTCCATTTCATCCCGAGCGTGCTCGATAGAGAACAGGTCCGGAGAAACAGCTGAACAGGGAGTATCGGAATGTTCACTTTCTCGGGAAATCTGTCACAACACGAGCGTCATGTGGACGGGCATTATGGTGCTGCTGCGTGAAGTTACGTCTCTGTCCCTGAATGGACGCTTGTAAAGTGATCTCAGAACTGTCTGGCAGACCTGTCAGATTGCCAATAACAATGACAAGTTGTGTCCGACCATGAGATGTGATGCCTCCCATACCATAAATGCTTCCACCACCAAACTGTCGACATTGAACAACGCAGGCGTCAGCATACCGTTCACCTATCTGTCTGTACACCCTTGTCCTGAAATCTGAGCTGTCTAGATGAAATTTCGACTCGTCAGGGGACAATTCGCCATCCCGATCTTGTCTCCTGTACCGTAGATGCTGTCTGCGCCTGACAAGACGTGCCTGTCGGTGACGTTGGAGACAAACTGGACGCATTGCAGGCCTTCTTGAGGGCCGCATATTGTGCTCCTGAGTCGGTTCCGTACAGTCCTGAGTGAGTGAGTTAAGATTTTAAGTCACATCGGCAATATTTCCAGCCATATCGTGACTAAAGCAAGTAAATATATCGATAATTTAAAGTGAAATGATAAAATTCTGCCGACGATCGATAAAATAACTAGGTATCACAGGTATGGGTAACAAAATCTAAAACATTTTGAACTATACAAGACGATACAATATTAACAAAAAGCTATTGATCGCCAACAACTTCGAAGGTCTCACTGCATGACCCATGGGGACTTACACAGTACATTTGCGTATGGACCCCAGCTGGATCAAACAGTCCTGAAACGGATAAGCAAGGAATGGTCCGACAGTCTGGAATCGATTCATTAAATGGGTCATCCGAATGTGGTTGTCTTTGGTTGACGTGACGTCGCGTGGACGACAAATCTGTAGTGACATTATCTCCATAGATCAGCGAGTGCTTCGGACCACCACTTCATTTGGGGGCGTTTCAGTCTTCAGCATTCCCACGGTGTATAGACGCTGACTTTCTGTGCTTGCCAAGCGGCATGGCGTATACCAGTTTAGGTTTAAAATGAACGAGTTTTCCACAAAATTCAGAGGCTAGAGAATACTCAACCGTTCTTCACTTTTCAACATTTCCAATGTGAACTTCAGGTGTCAATAAGCAAGCAAAAGTGAGTAAAGTTTATTGTGCACGTGTCACGTGCGATATGTGACATCAAATTACATGCTGTGTGTATTGCCATTGTGTGTATACAACTTTTTTAGATAACTTTTATTTTCTGCACTTTTTATGTTATGCACAGTTACTTTTCTTTCTCTGTTAGTATATATATCCAGAATGGTTCTGTCTCTACACCTACTTTGAAGGCCAGTAGTTCTTATGTCGTTGTGTTCTTGCAGGTTGCCCTACTGGAGGCTGCGTCCATGTGCTGAAGACGGCTGTGCCAGACAGACACATGGTGCTGCATTGTGAGTACATAATTACATCTATTGAGAGGATATATACATGCCACAGCCTACCAATTCACTGTGCACTTCTATACTCTACACTTCTACAATACATCTTACCATGGATAACGGAACACACTTCATTTAGAACCAGGTGTTTGTGTCGTCATAAAGCAACTTTAACACATATTTGTTACACGGCATTGTAATTTATCGTAGCAATGACACAAATTGTAGTACATTGTTTCTGTTTTGATTCAGTAGAAGTTCATAACATTGTATTTAACAGTAATTAGTAGCTGTCATGAATGTATTACTTTCCGACGTTGTGCTTAGATGCGTCCTGGTGTTAGTTAAAATCTGACTCTTCTGGAAAGGCATAAACTTATATTGTATGGTATGGACTCTTCTGGGTTGAACTATATAAGGTGCAAGCTCATTTCTACAAAGCATTACTTGCATGGAGAGAAGCGGTTGTGTGAAGTCACCACATTTTACCTTGGCTACAAAAGGTGCAGTATGCCGATTATGCGTAATTTGATCATTATTGATGCAATGAGGTAAAATGTGGGTGGCACATTACTGACTCTAAAGTGGCTACCAGTGCTGGCATTGTATTTAAACTTCGCAACTGAAACTGTACTCCAGTTGTATGTGTCCTGCCATTGTAATCACATTGTAGTAATTTGTATTTCGGGGATATCTGTACCTACGTGTTTGACGATGAAATTCAAGACGTATCCGGTGGTTATATGTATGCCGCAAAATGTAGTTATATCGGCAACGCTTGTAACAGTGTTCGGCCTCAACAGGTCAATGCTAGTTGTTTTTAAGTAAACCGTATGCTGTTTATACGGTCGGAAATTTATATCAGATTTTGTCGTAATCCATACACACAACATGAAAATGATGAACATCTTCGCACATATTCAAGTTGTCCGAGTTAAGGTAAATGTAAGCAATACGGATGATTTAATGTCTCAATTTTCCTACACAATATTGCCATGTTAGTAAGTGCCAGCAATATTATCACATACGCCAAATATAATATACCAGACTGTTTAGGAAATACTTCAAACATCGCATGTATACATAATATATATATATGCTTATGTATACACATATACACCGCTAATGTCGCATATGTGCGCCTGCAAATATACCTACCCAACACAATGCACCAGCTGCCAAATGATTTCAATAGGTCGAGTGACACCGATATTGCGACCTCGCATGGCAGATTCAAATGTAATACATAGTAGATTGTGGCTTATGTAAATAACATTACATAACTCACTCTGTCTCACGCCTTTGTAGGGTACACGCATCAGCAGGCGACAAAGATACAGAGTCAATCTCGACAAAGTCCACATCAACACAGAAGGAGACCCGGCCAACAGGAAGTCGGACACCAGGACCTGCAGGGAAGGTGGAGACTGAAGAAGCAATAGCGCGGCAATATTGCACTGCATCCGCCCCCAGGATGGCTGTCCCCAGTACTGGGAGGCGGTGGAGAACAGGGTCAAACTGGGATTTAAACCACTTTCAGAGACTTCAACCTTCATCCTGGAGGTTGGAGTATGTAGGGGAGTTGAGGGACGGGAGTCATTATGAGATGGACTTCCTTTTACACCCACTGTATGACCGTCTCCCACTGTACCTATACACGGCGGGACATGCAGGAAGATGGGTATGTGCGTAGAGTAGCGTGCGCTGTGGTCTGCCTGATCCCTCTCCCCTTAACACAGCAGGGGACATCTACAAATACGACCTGCATTACGGTGCGTTGGTTCTAGTGATGATGCCAGGAAGAAGATTGTCTCTCATTGATGTGAAAGAGAAGCAGAAAGTCATGTCGACGTTAGACAATGTAGACTGTAGTGGAACCACTGTGGCCGATGTTCAGTGTGTATAACCCAGATGATGTCACTAGTCAGGGCATGAGACTGGTAGTGGGCAGCGACATCAACATGGACTGGAGGAGAAGAAAGCCGCATGATTGACAACTGATGGTGACCACATCGATCACATATTTGTAGTAGAAGCTTACCCATCACCAAACATCAGCTTTAGTGATTTCACGAACACCAAGACAGCAGTACATGCGCTGTGTTGTGGTGTGTATGTCCTTGACCCCATGTCTACAATTCTAGTGACCCCTGGTTCACTCCCAGTGCCCCTTTGTCTACCCAGGTCCCCCTTTGTCTACTCCCAGTAATCCCCCTTTGTCTACTCCAGTGACCCCTTGTCTACATCTATATGTCCCCCCATGTCTGCATCTTCAGCGGACCTCCTTGTCTACCCAGGACCCCTTTGTCTACTCCAGTAACCCCCATGTCTACCAGTGACTTCTATCTACACCAGTGTCCCCTTTATTCACACCAGCAGCCCCTTGCCCGCACCTAGTGACCCCTTTGATACTCCAGTGCCTCCCTTTAAGCAACTGAAACCCTTTGTTACACCCAGTTCCCTTTATGTCTGCACCAGTGTCTCCTATGTCTACACCAGTCCCTGCATAGTTCACCAGTGTCCCTCATGTCTCATGTC